TGATGGATAGGGATATTAATGGTGCTCGGGGAATTTTTCTCCGAGCTTTGCTTGATGGGGCTGTTTGTGTATAGTGATTCACTATATGCATACACTAATTGATTGTTTTATATATAGTAATATATATTAGTGATCGATTCAATCCATCCGGCTCATTCTAGATTAAAATGTATTTAATCTATATTTCGAGATCAAAATAAATTTTTAATGCTAAACGTTCAAAAAATTTTTCCAATGTCTATTGGTAAATGAACTCAAATAGACGAACCTGACTTTTCTAAGCAGCAAATATTGATAATGAATTGCATAAACGTTCTGATGGTATCCAGATACCAAAGCTAGGTAGAACCCCAAGAGCGTTTTCATCTTCTGAATCAAAAATACCTGGAAATATCAACAGGATGCTATAAATGAAGCTCTTCTGTAATTCTTCGATATAATAACAATAATATTAGTATTTATTCAAATTAAAACCCCAATTGTGAGAGTCATTAATTGACAATTTGGTAACATCACTTCTATGAATTTTATTGGTTAGATGATGTAAATTTTCGTCACAGGAGACCATTGTCCCTGGAGATATCATTTGATTTTAATATATATTTTGAGTTAAATATTGATCAATATTAGCGTTAGGTGATTGATTACACAAGTCAAATATTTTTTTATACATGACAATCTAAAAGTGACCGTTCCACACAAATATTTTATTATATTATAAATGTATCTAATAATGTTTGTTGGTGAAATATGGGTGAGCCCTAGCACGCTTGGCAGAGATTCGATAAGTTGGATCATAAACCAGCATTTTCTATTAACCAATTATAATTAAGTATTACAATTTAGTTATGCATTTAAAAGTAACGTATTAAAACAAAATATCTTAATCATCACGTACAGAAAGCAAATCAATGGCAAGCGGCCCCATCCCCGGAACATAATCGCTCAGTAATTTCGGTCTCCATTTAGGGAAGTTCGTCTTGTAATCTGGAAAATTTATAATTTCAGGCCATACTTCTTCATTGGGTGTTCCTAGAATTCTACAAGAAAAATATTATAATAATTCTTTCAATGTTTATTTGGATGATTTTTGAAAATATATGTAAATAAATTACTTGAAAATTCTAAAAAGTTCGTCAATTTCAGAATCCCCTGTAATAATAATAAAAGGTAAATAATAATGAAAATTTTCTAAAAATTTATAATCTTATATTGGGTAATATTCTTATCCATTTAGCTATATTAACATCGTACCTGCAAACATTGGCTTTCGAAGTGACATTTCCGCGAAAATACATCCAATACTCCACATGTCAATAGCGAAAGAATAACTTCGAGAACCGAATAAGATTTCAGGAGCTCTATACCAAAGCGTAACAACCTAATAATCAAATCAAATCACAATAACTTATTGATGAAATTATAACCAAAACCAAACGTCAAACTATTTAATACCTCATGGGTACACGGTCTCATCGGAACACCAACAGCTCTTGCTAATCCAAAGTCTGCTAATTTCAAATCTCCATTTTCATCAATCAATAAATTTTGCGGTTTCAAATCACGATGGAAAATACGATGCATGTGTAAAAACAATGTTCCATCTAGAAGTTGATACATAAATTTCTAAAAAAAAAAAAAAAAATAAATAAATAAAAATAAAGATAAAGAACAAATAATAAGTAAAACAGATTTATAGGATTCCCTACCTGCATTGTATATGAATCCATTCCAGACGGTGGGAGTTCCTTGATAAATTTTCTCAAGTCCATTTTAAGTAACTCGAATACGAGACATAACTTCCGTTCCTGGTTAACAATATCTAACAACCTAATAATAATAATAATAATAACAATAAAGACATTAAAATAAATAAATAAAAAGGGAGATAAATATCCATTTTAACGTACCTTACGATATTTTTATTCTTGGAAGCTTCCTTTAATAATGAAATTTCTCGAATCGAAGTTGGCGGAATACCTTCCACTTCTTCATCCAATCGAATCTTCTTTAATGCTACAATCTTTCCGGTTTTCTTATCTCTTGCTTTATAAACGACACCATACGTACCTGATTTTTAATTTGAAATAACATATTATTTTTTGTTTACGTACTTTGTTACAATCAAACCACTATAATTTAAATATACCTTCGCCAAGTTTTTCTATCTTCGTATATTCTTTATACTCTTCTTCAACCATTACAAATAAAGGAACGATAGCGAAGTTTTGATCTTTTGGGACGAGTAAGGTTATAATAAAAATTATGACTTAAAAAAATTAGAATTTCTAACAGTGAAATGTGTTTTTTTTTTTTTTTTTGAATTTAAGACGCGTCTAATGAACGTGCTCGTGTAACAAATACTTTTTGGACCTCAAAAAAAGGGTATCTAAAACTGGGGGTAGGTCTGGTACATGTGATTGATGCAGATAATCTTTTTTTTTTTTTTTTTGATAGTTTATATACAACCGGTAAACCCTCTTACAATTCTTTGACATTCATAGCTCCACTTTTTTTTTTTCCGAGATTTTTCGTTTGTTTTATGACGATTTATCTCTTTTGTGGAAATTGCTTATAAAAAAAAAAAGACCCAAATTAATCACGGCATTTGATCATTAATTCAATTTTGTCGTTTCATGCCTTGGGTACATTTAAATAATAGATATCTTTGATATCATTTAATAAAAAAATTTTTTATTTTTAAAAAAACCATGTGAAAGGTAGGAAGGCAAATTTTGTTCAATTCTAGTCTTAATAAATAAAGTAAACATGACTTTTGAAACAGTGACACTAAAATTTTCGAGTGGTTGAATAATAAATTTATTATAATAATTTACATTAACTTATCCTTACCTAATTTATTATTATTATTATTTTATTTATTTATTTATTTTTTTTTTTTTTTTAAATCGACTACCCAAAAATTGAAATAATATTTACTACTTCGTTGCAAATGCGATTTTTGGCATAGTTTCGTTTCTTCGAGGATTCACGTTAACTATTGTTAGGCAAAAAAAGATCACAAGAGACGAAAAAAAAAAAAATTATCATTATTAAGTTTCAGGATAAAAATTTTATAAGTTACGACATTATAATTTGTATTGTCGATATTTGAAATTCGAATTTTATATTTTGTTTATATAGTAAGATACATTACAATTTGGATCCATCAGCGATAAACGAGACACCTTTGTTGATATTTGTTTTGAGCTCAGGGATAGCCGCTTCTAAAAGTTTCTTTTCATATTCGCTAATTTCGCCAAGAGAGTTAATCTTTGCAACACCATTAGGCTATCAAATTAATTTATGTTAAACATTGGTATGTTAAAAATTATGAATAATAATATATAAAATAAAAATAAAGATATATACTCCTAGTTCGATGTTTGATGAGAAATAATCCAGTCCATCGATAAGTTTTCGAAGTTGCGCGCACCCTTCTTTATCAGCATCAAGGTGAACGTAGGAAGGTTCGACAATTCCTGCTTCTCCTTTAACGGTGGCATTTAAAATTGAAGATGCAAATCGAGCACCAGCTTGTGCCATTGAAAGGGTCGCCGATCCTGCACCATCTTTAGCTTTAACAACTTCATCACCCCCTATAAAAAATCATAAAAATGATAATTAATTTATAAACTACAAAGTAAAATTTCGACATTTTTATATAAATAAATATATACCAAATTGAATGCGTTTTGTAAGTGCCTCAATTTCTTCATGAGTAAAGTTATGACGTGGTGAGATTTGTGACAAAAGTGGAATAATAGTTACGCCACTGTGTCCTCCTACGACTGGAACGCGAACTCCTTGCGGTGCTGCACCACTGATTGAACTAGTGAAGGTAGATGCACGAACAACATCAAGAGTTGTAACTCCAAAAACTCTTTTAGGATCAAATGCACCATGTTTCTTTAGAACCTCCACAACAATTGGTACAGTAGAATTTACAGGATTCGAGATTACGAGAACATAAGCTTTAGGGGCATGTTGGGCAATGCCTGTGGCCAAGTCACGAACAATTCCCGCATTTATCTAAGACATATATTGTTAACAAAAAATAATTTGAAATTGAGAATAAATTTCAAACAACCAGTTCATAACGCTTTGCTTTCTTATTAATATGGTTAAAAGTATACCTTGAAAAGGTCGTCTCTCGTCATGCCAGGTTTACGGGGAACACCTGCCGGAATTACAATCAAGTGTGCGCCGGTCAAGGCGCATTTTAAACCGTCATTTGCAGGTAAGTAACCAGTAACTTTGGCTGGAGTATTGATATGACTTAAATCTGCGGCTACTCCGGGACTATTTACAATATCATAAAGTGCAAGTTCCGTGATAACTTCATTAAGTTTAAGAAGAAGTGAAAGAGGTTGTCCGATACCTCCAGCAGCACCTAATACTACGGCTTTGACCATTTTTATTTTAATAAAGTTAAAAGTTAAAAAGAAATAATTGATTTTTGAGAAGAGGATCAAAAAAAAAAAAAAAAAAAAATCGATTTTGATTGTTGACACATGCAAAAAGGACATGTTCATTATATAAGGAAAAATCTCTGGATTGATTCTTTAGATTGACATTGTGAAACTCTTGATCAGATTGGCGGTTTTGTAACGTGAATGATAAGATAAATGCTATGTTCTATCTTATCTTAAATTCAATCAAACGAATATTTATCGGATAAGAGAATAGAATATTTTATGCAAAACAAATAAATCTTTTAATGCATAAGTCGCGTATAGTATATAACGTTACAAATTTGAATTACATAATTAAGGATTCGATTAAAATGATCAAAAAAATTTTCTTATCTATATTGTAATCTGACATTTTTAATAACAAACAAAGATAACGATAATGCCAAAGAAACTTTTTTGGTAAGAAAAAATTTTAAATTACGAATCTCAAACAAAAGAAATCTGCACCATCGTTATTTATTTATGGTAGATAGGAAATAATATTTGTGATATCAATATATTTTGAAGGAAACAATAGAACGATTATTTCGAACGTCTTTATCACATGCATTGATACGAAGATATGAAAAATATCATTTTTAAGATTAAATCAAAATAAGAAATCATATAAATATAAAAATTAAAATAAGTCAAATATAATCTCTTATCATTAGAACGATTAAATCTAGAATGATCGAACCGATTGATAACTTCCTTTTGATCGGTCAATAGTTATGAGTTTATTTGCAAGTAGAGTATAAATAGCACGGACACCTTGGTCTTCTGATAATCCAATTTCACGTGAAAATTCTCCAATTTTGATCTTGAGCTCGCTAAGAGTAAGCTCATTCGTATCGCGAATAATCTGCAGAACCATCGCACCTAATATCGTTTGTTGTGAGGGAATAGGAATTGATGTGTCCCTTTGATCGTGCTTGAATATACAATTATTAATCATTATATCGTTTATGCCCCTAATCCAAATAGCATAAAATCGGTTAATATCCAAAGTAAATAAATCTCTATACAATGATTAAAATATGTTCAAATCATTTTACTTGATGATAACATTGTCATATTCCAACTCATTGAATTTTCCTTGATCTTGATTGAGGGCCGATGCCGAAAATGACTGTCAATTATAAAATATTAGTTAAAATTCAAATTTAAAATCAATTGATTTCTTTCCATCAATTTTATACCAAACCTCTTCCGGACTTTTTTGGTTTTTAAATTCATCCTCGGCCAAATTAATCTACAAACCATATAAACTATGAATGCATATTTGATATACATAACGATCATAATAATATAATACAATCATATACCCTATTTGTGCATTTATCTGAGCTCCTCGCATCTGCTGCTAATTTAAGTTTTTCTAAATTTATTCTTTGCTATTGATTAAATTAATTAATGTAAACATGTTGAATAAATTAATTTATTAAATCAAAAAGATCAATTATAATTCATATTTATTTACTATTTCGATTGAAGATATGATCTCTTCATGTTGTAGTGCTAATGATTTGACCCTTTCTTCTAGGTATTTTTGGGTTTTTAATTCATCTTCATTTGAATTAACCTAAAATCACGTAAAATTTGAATGCATATTGAAGACAATTAAATAAAAAAAAAAATATATATATATATATATATACTCTAACTATGCATTCGTTTGACCGTTTCGAACTCCTCGCCTGTACCGCCAATTTAAGTTTTTCAAAATTTATTCTTTGCTATTCATTCATTTCAACAAAGATAAATGTGAGTTAATCAATGGACAATTAAATCAATTAAATATATTTATAAATATTAACTACCTTTTCCTTGATGGATTCCAAACTATCGATTGAGGAAGTGATTTCTTCATATTGTTGTGCCAAAGATTCAATCCTTTCCTTTACATCCTGAAGATCACTAAATAATATATTTTTAAATTAACAGGGGCGTCTTCGTTAAAACTTTCAAAATTAGAAAGTTTTAATACCAAATCTGAGCTAGCACGTTTGCTGCTCGGAGTAGTTTATCCACAGTTATAGGACCAGGACCACGTAAAGGAGTAGGTTGTTCTAATTCCTGTCTTTAGTTCGCGTCAAAGTATTTAATAAAGTATGGAACTTGTAAGAATCACGTGTAAATCGGCTTAAAGAATTAGACGAACACGGAAAATATTAATATACAAAACTCCCATTTACCGAGACTTTGTTCCAAGTTCATCTACAAAAGTAAACAATTTTCTTTCGTGGGGCGCAGCATCTCGAATCGACTTTTTACTCCCGCCAGACTCTAAAAGAGCAGCTAAACGCGCATTATGATAAGTAAAGTTAAGTGAAGCAACTTCTGAAGACGCTTTACAAATGTTTTCTAGCTGCGCGAAACCTTTGAAAGGCATTATTATTGAACATACACTCTTACCGAAAACATTTTTTATGCAACGTTTTTATCACACGTGACACATGACCCTATGCAAACCAGAAACCAGGTATGAAATATCTCCCTTCTGCCCTCGACAGATGATCTTCATGCAAAATTGTGTTAAATTACCAAAAACAGGAAATCAACAAAACAATACAAATATTTAATTTTTTTTAAAGTAAAATTTATCAAATCTAATAAAAAATTTGTACAAATTTGTGTATATAATTGAATGTAAGAAAAATAAAAAAAAAAAAAAATCGGTTTTTGATGCATTCAATGCAAGAAAAAAGAATATTAATTATGAATATTAAATGAATGATCAATTATTTGGAGTCATTATTAGACCTGTTTTGAAGCTTTTGGGGAGATATCTAATAAATTTCAGGAAAGTTGTCCCAATTATATCATCCCAAAACTTCCAAACCTCAAAAATGATAAAAGATTTGCGGAAAAAAAGGAATGTTTTCTATATTAAAAACACGTAATTTGCTATATAGATAATAGCCACCATTCAATACAACGGAAAATATTGGCGCAAATTTTTTTCGCATATATAAAACAAAATCTGTGTACATGATGCAAAAAAAAGGAAAGGAAAAAAAAATGTAGTTTAGCAAGATTACAAGGAAAAGTGCGCAGGAAAAAAAAAATACAATAATCTAACCAAAAAAAAAAAAAAAAATACAATATATATTTATATAAAGAACAGATTATTTTCAAATTTAAGCACTACGAACACTTTTCGTTTCTTAAAGATGTATAATATTAGTCAATTCGAAAATAAAAAACAATCAATTATTCCGCATGAAATAATCTAAATATCGGAAACGAAATATAAACAATGAAAAAAAAAAATGTCAAAAATCTAACTTAAAAATAAAAAAAAAAATAAGAATAAGAATAAAAATCATCTCAAATATATGCAAAGAAAAACGAAAAAAAAAATAATATATATATATATTTATATAAAATTTCCAAAACATCCTATTTTAAAACTAATTTATCATAAATACCATCACGATACTAAAACTGATCCAGAATCACGGCCGTGAGATGTTGTACCAGTTGTTACCGTCGTTGCTTCGCGATTTGTTGTTGACCTTGAATTGCCTGTGGAATTTGTTGAACGAGATGAACGAGAACGGTGTCCGCTCGAATTTGTAGATGAAGTTGAATTAGAAGTATTTGTATCCGCATGTCTATGCCGTTCCATGATAGAAGTTGGCTGACCATTTGCAGGTGGATCTGTATCCATGCTAGAAGATGACTGACCGTTCCCAGATGTATCTGCATCCGCAGATCTATGTCGTTCCATACTAGAAGTTGAATGACCGTTGCCAGATGTATCTGCGTCCGCATGACTTAGTCGTTCCATACACCACCACCTATGTCCTTCGCTCCAAGCCTTTGATTGACATGCTTTAGAGCAATATTTAGCTTTACGGCATCTCCGACATTTTGCAAATTCTCTTGGATAACTTTCCCATTTACCACAAGCCATATAAGCACATTGACGGATTCCACCGCGAGCTTCATCCTTACGACAAGCATTGCGCATGATAACACCAGCCCAATATTGGATCTCTGCAGGATGGAGGCGATGAGTGAATTTTTCTACAAGAGAGAATACGTTATGGGGCGGATAAGCTGTGTGAAAAGTAGCTCGTAAATGAGGATACTTTGAAAGGTAGGCTAGTAGTTGAAGGGACAAAAGAATATCTTCTTCACGATACAGAACGTCAATTTCCAAAGTTGTTGATGATTGCGAAGCGAGGTTTGTTGGGTTGTTATTCGGTAGTTGTGAAGGTCGTAGGCTTGGAGTTATATTTGTTCCAGCTGTGCCTGTAATTGCTTGTGGAAGTTGTGGCATTGTGGTTTCTTCATTGTCTGCAACCGAACCCCAAGATGCAACATCCGATCTTGCATCATCAGACGACCTTATATCATAAGGTGTTGTGACATTTGTTAGAAACCTGTTCGTAGAAGCAGCAGCTGTATTCGATGGCGTAATACCATGCATATTTGATGAAATATCAGAGGTTTCATTTTGGTAATCAGAAGAAGGGAAAATGGATGTTGTTGAATTAGGTGAGTGAGGATAAGAAGTTAAAAGTTGTTCAGACTCTTCAGACATCTGAATAATATTCAACGCGTTACCATTTTCTAAAGCTCCAACGAAAGCTGCTGCAAGAGGGATTGCAGGGGGAGGTGGTGTGGTTGTTGTGATCAGCGGCGGATGCTGCGTTGTAAGTAATTGTGCAGCAAGTAATTGCTGTTGTTGTTGTTGTTCCTTTTCCAATCTAACATGATCAAGAGCCTTTAAAAAATTGTCCAATACGGTTATAATAACCGGTACCATACCAGCATCCACAACTCTAGTTCTAATTGTCTCAGAACCCCGTACTCCAACGTTAGCAACACATTGAAATGCCATAGACCATTTCCAACCGCTTCTTTTATCGTTCACTTTGGTAGTTTTAAGGATACGAACCAAGCGTTCCAACCCTCCATCCATCGTGAGAATCTCTCGGATGCGTGGAGAAGTACTTGTTAAGTAGGTAAGATGTGTCAGGGAGTTAATTAATGGTAAGATGGCCGTGCAGTCAAGCGCTCTTCTGTCATAAAGAGCAGAAGTAATGCAGACGGAGGCACGGTTTTGTGAGGGAAAAGAAAAGTTGGATTCTCTCATTGTGATCGTTTATTTTTTTGAGGGAAAAAGAAGGAAAAAAAAATAAAAAAAAAAAAAAAGAAGAAATAATAAACGATATTACAGGTTTAGTGTTTTTAACTTTGTATATGTAGCAATAAAATTACACACAAGGTTTATTAAGGAAAAAGTATGGAAGAGGCGAACGTGCGAATATACTACCCAAATGCGAAGCTGGTTTTTTTTTAAAAAAATAAAAAAAGAAAAAAAAAATATATATATATATAAAAAAAAAAAACAAAAAATAAAAAAATAAAAATTAGTTTTTTTATTGTAATTATTGAGATGAACCACGTTTTAAGTTTAACAAAGAACAAATGTTTAAAACAAATGTTTGTCACAAAAATCTATTCTTTGAAAGAAGAAATAAAGCTCTCCTTTAGAGAGCGTGAGATACTTCAAAGTGTGATGAGGTTTGGAAATGGGAAGTTCGATAGTTTGAAAGGGCGAAATAAAAAGTGTTCCAGTGAAACTCAAATAGTTGTAAAAAAGCTCAGTGGCACAGCAGAAATTTCAGGGAAATTATCCGAGCCTTTTTTAACCCCATCAAATTATAATGGTCGCCCCATTCCTTCCGCAGCTTATTTCAATACATAAAGAAAATTTTCCTTTTCTATTATGTTAATAATATTAATATTATGTTTTAATACCTCATACATTTATTTGTTAAGCAAGAGATTGTTATTTCTCGGATCATACTAAATTTAGAATATTTGTATTATTCAAATATGATTGGTTAATGTTTGGATCAGACATTTGAACGATTTACCAACTTAAGAATTTTTTTTTCTCTTCTTTAGTCTCTGATGATTGGTCAACTTAAATTTTGGATGACTTTTTTAAGCTAGCTTTTGTAATACGAGTTTTTTTTACGATGTTACATGAAGGAACAATCATTACTTGTTATACTTACTACTGGCGTTTGAAGTCATGATGATGCTATCATTTTAATACGTTTGGAACTTGGTTTTTCTCTGGCCATACCAAATTACACAAAGGGGAAACAAAAAAAAAAAAAATATTCTCTCGAACCGGTAAACAAAATTTCAACATCATTTAATTTCAAATAACCTGTAAATAAATTCTTAAAAAAAAAAAAACCGATATTTCAAAGTGATTCTTTTAATTTTTTTTTATCAAGTGATTTTAAGTAATCAAATTATTTCTCGTTCAACGTAGAAATCAAGCTTGCTTGTTATTTTATTAACGTCATATATATCAATATCATTTCTTTGTTTTGGGGTGTACATATATACTCAGAGGTTGAGTTTAGATTATCAAACTAGTTACCATTCGTTTGTTCCTCAGCAAAGGTCAATATGGCCCCAAATTCTTTTATCACACAGAGTAGAATCTCTCAAAGATCCGATGCTGATTCCAATGCATTAAAATCCTTTTCACAAACTTGGATAGAATGGACAGCAATAGTTTCCGAACGACATGGGTCAGTAATTAAATCCTTTTCACAAAGCTGGTCAGAGTGGACATTGGAAGTGTCTAAACAAAAACCTCAACTTCCGGAACCTCCGACTGATGCCTTGAAATTACAACAGTATATTATCAATAATCATGGATGGTGGCCAATTTTTGGTGGAGAACCAAAACTCAAAAGGAAACATGGTGCATCCACCTCATTACAAGTCTCACCAAAGAAAACGCCAAATCGTTTAATACATTATGAACTTCCAAAGCGTCGAAAAATCCATAATAATTCTCATTTTTCGTCGCAATTTTCATGCAAAAATTATCTCGCCGTTGAATGGATCCCTGAAGAAGATTTTTTTCTAACAGCAAATCCACCAAGGACGACAACTTCCGCATTACCTCAGGAAAATTTCGCTGCAGTAACTAGTAGGGTCTTATTAGTACGCAGGTTGAAAGCGAAACAGGGTAACGCTTTCAAGGGTGATGCCGCCACGAGATTTCGAAAAAGCGTTCTTACTAAAGAACATAATGGTAGATTTGAAATTTTGTCTTGATATATACAATTTAGAGATTTCATAATAACTTGTAGATATAATAAAATATAATTAATTTCGACTTTCAACGATCTTTAAAATCATAGCAACAAAAAATTGGGCAATAAGATCCATTGTTGAGACATCAAATGTTAATCATTCGATTGATGCTGATGTGATTGTAAAACGACCATGGAAAGATGGGACAACACATCCCATTGAAGGTACGCTTGATGATCTCAAGCGCTTGCGAATTCAACGTGCTGGGGATTTAGGTCTTTTAGCCCGTACGTTTTATTACAAAGTTTATTAATTAAAATACATTAGAATGAGATATTGTTCAATTTGTATTATTTTATTTTATTTTTTTTTTTTTGTATAATATATATTATGTAATATGTATTTGGAATCAATGATAAAATTACATTGGTATCGCTAACGCTTGTTAGTTTGTCTGTTATTATTTATTTATGTTTTTGATACATTTTAGTAGTTATCATATTTTACTTTTTTATTTTTTTTTTTTCATTTTTTTTTTTTTTTTATACTATTTTTGCTCAATCGTATTGTTATTTTTTTGATTGACATTAAATTATAGGTTCAATATTCGAAAAAACGCGAGCGGATCGAGAACTATTAGAAAAAGCTCGCGAATATTATCGCATTCACAAAGGTAGAATTTATCATTACATTTCTCTTGGATCATGTTTCATTTTATAAAAATTTTGTACTTTTTTTTATTTAAATGTCATAATGTTTGTTTATTTTTAGGTAAGTGTCGACCCATGTTTGCGCGAAGGGTCGTCCCACCAACAACACCTCGACCCCTTACTCCTAAAATTGGAATATTCGGCGCTAACCCTTTCAACTTCAATACAAATCAAGGGTTAATTTCGGAATTAAATCAAGCCATTATAATTCCGAGTGAAGATCATGGTGGTGTTGACATTAATAAATGAAGTTTTTTTTTTTTATTATTATTTATTTCACCTTGTAATCATCCTTTAATAATTTTAAATTACATCTATTCATTCATTTTCTTCTCTTTTTTTTTTCTTTTTCTTTTTTTTTCTTTTTTTTTCTTTTTTCTTTTTTTTTTTTTTTTTGAGGAAAATATAATATAAAAATCTTATTTATTCCTTGGGAGATAAAATATTCTTTTCCTTCTTTGGGAAGGTCTTTTTTATATATAATTATATATATATTGAAGAAAAAACCCCCGGGAAAAAAAGAAAAAAAAAAGAGATGAATTTAATAGTGAAGATTCATCCTGTATAATTCTCCAAGGAATATGTTTGCCGATAATTTTTATTTTTTGAGCTTTAAATTTTTGAATCAAAAAAATTTAATTGTCCCAAGGAAAGATATTCGGCTTACCTGTCAAAAAAAAAAAGGTTGGCATTTAGAGATTTAAATATTTTAAATTGAACATTATTAATTTTTTCGAACATTATGTAGTTTTTAATAACTATTGCAAAAATTTTTTGGTGGAAAATAATTAAGGGGGGTTTTTTTTTAATTTATTTTCATTTTTCATTTGTTTGTATTTATTTCTCTTTTTTTTTTTCCCTTCATTTTCTGTTAAGTTTAACAGAAAACAAAATAATTTGTATATAAATTTTTTTTTTCTTTTTTTTTTTTGTTAAAAAAAAAAAGAAATCTTACTGTAACTAAGGTGATAGAATTTAATTTACATTTTTATTATTCTTTAATTAATTTTTTTTAGGATAAATTATTTACACCAAAAAAAAAAATAAACCCAATCGAGAATTGATTAATAATCTAGCTGATTGTTGTTTTTAAGTTTTCTTTTTCTTTCTCTTTGTATATATTTTCATCACCTTTTTCTTGATTTAGAAAAGAAATGATTCATTCTTTTAATATTTTGTAGTTAATTAATTAATTTGATGTATCATTACTTGTATCAACTTTAGTTAGAATAGAATTATATCTGTATTTAATTTTGAAATTTTATTTTTAAGTTATGAAATAAAAAATTCATTAAAATAAACCCACCCCCCATATTTTATCATTTATGAACTTGTAACAGAACTTTGTTCGTTATTCGAGTCTTGATCATTAACAATTGAAGTATCGACAGAACTTATGTCAGACTCGTTATCTTCAAAACCTTGAACGTTCGCTTCCATCACATCATCTTCAGATGTGAATTCATAATTCTCCAAATCATCATCATCGTCATCATCTTCAAATTCTGAATCAAAGTCAAATGGCAATTCAGATTTCATGGCTTTCCAGATTTCATTTTCATAACCTTCACCTCCTTCATCAAGTTCAAAATCTTCATCAGAAAGTTGTTCATTTTTCTTAATTTTTTGTAAATCTTTACCAGCATGTTTCTGTGTAAAATATTTGTGAAAGAAAATCTAATTTGATAATATAATTAAATTAGAACAATTTCATAAAAGAATTACAACACTACATATATCACCATAAAATACCTGATCCACTGGTACATCTTTCAATTCCATTGTCCAAAATTTTTTGGAATTTACGTTCAATTCATCTTTAGAAATTCCAGTACCTTTTTTAATTACCACTCTTCCTGGTTCTGATGTTACTGTAGGTTGAAGTAAAGGATTACCACCCTTAATTTTATCATGTTTCTTTGGATTACGAAATACAAATTTATCCAAGAAATGTGTAATTGTATGGAGATGAAGTTCGGAATGTCCACTTATAGGTTGTCCATTAATTATCTGAGTTGCGTATAAAGCAACTGTAGGATGAAAATGATTGGTAAAATCAATCTAATAAAAATAAATATAATTTAATTTTCAAAATAATTAAATGAAATTAAATTTAATAGGTTATATGATTTACCAACTCCCAAAGCCTTGATTTATCAGCATTACTATACTGAGGATCTCGTTTTCTTGCATCGTATTGTGTGTCATCTTTTCGAACATTTTTTGTACTCGATTCATAATTTTTTTCATTCGGCTTATCATTATTTCCTTCCTCGTCATAATTCGCAGATTGAACAATAAAAGGACGAAGGTTTGGTCGTTCTACAATTAGCTATAGCATTAAAAAAAATCAATTTAAATATTTAAAATTTTAGTTTTGTCATTAAGCATATAATTCATACCTCAGCTAATAGATATAGAGCACCGCATATAAAATGTGGTTCATGATGACCACAAATTTGCACCAATCTTTTCAGAAAAGCCTCGACCCGTACAATTGTGGGGTCAGATTTCAAAGCTTTGTACAAAAGATTCAAGTACAATGCGTGTTTCGAGGTTTTTACCAGACGAGGATCTAATAAGGAATGATATAAAGCTCGATAGAAACGTTCAGACAACGACTTTTATAATTAAGATATAATGTAAATATGCACAGGTAAGATAAGAATAGATGACAAAAAGAATTGATATCCAACTAATGAAAAATACCTCTCTGTCTGAAGACACTTGGAATATCAACATAAGTGCTTGTATACTAATATTAAATGTTCCAACATATGTTATACGATATAGAACATCTAAATGTTTTTCGAATCTATAGATGAATGATGTAATAATAAATAAAAAAAAACCCACAAATATTAATCTTTTCAGATTCGTCTATTAAATTTTTATACTTACACAGCATTATCAACTTGAGCAAACTTATAAGCTCTATTAACTCCAGTTAAAAGAGCTGCAATCATTTTAGAATCTACTGCATCCTCGAATTCAGTCACGTGAGTATCCCTTTTTTTAGCTTTAGACCGAGAAACTTTATTATGTTTGATTTCCTTATCCTTTGTTTCTAACAACTTTGCGAACAAGACAAAATAAATATCTATTAACTTATTAGCTACTTCGTTATCTCGTTTTGCTAGTATGATGCGACTTAACGCGATAACTCCATAATATTGAGCGTGATTATTTGCAGCAGAAGATAAAATTAATTGCTCTATCTCTTGAATAACGATCTTTTTCATTGAAGGATGTTTAGAAAAGATTTGATCGATAAGATAAGAGGCTTTTGACGCCACTTTCTTTTCATTATCTCCCTATATAAAAATTCCAAGTTATTTATAAGAACCTTTTGATATTTAAATCATTTATATGATTTTGAGCGTGAACTTACTAATTTATTCACTAATAATTTCAGTAAATTTGACTCTTGTTCAGGTTTCTCCATGAATAATATAAAAACAATTCCCAAGATTTGAAGTTTTACATATATTACGACATCATGTGATAATATCTATATGAAAAATCCAATTAAAACGTTAATGAAAAAATTATTAGATAAAATTATATTTCAATAAAGACAATTATAGTTACTTCAATTATACGAATAAGTTCAAAATATTTTCGTTTCAAATAATCTTCAAAGCTCCATAAAATTAAATTTTTATTTGATATATTTTCTTTATTTATGTGTTGATCACGGAAAAATCTAAATATCGAAAAAAAATCAATAACTTGCAGTTATTAAAGATAATGATTTTTTAGGCAAGCTTACTTTAGTTTCCGGTTAGGAGGCAATAATAATTCAATCATTAAATTTTTTAGGCTTTCAACAGCTTGAACGGCTTCATTTCTATTTTCTTTCTTGGCCATTTTAAACAAAGTATCTAGTGCTCTTATTGCATGTATAGGAGATTCTTCTACAAGAACCGAAAGAGTAGCTAATCTATCCTTCAAAGTTCCGGATTTTAGCATAGTAGCATAAAAGGAACGATCTGAAGCATTACGACGTGAACGAATAACTTCATATGCATCATTTTCTTCATTTAAAAGATGCAACGCATTTTCGTACATATCGGAAATAATTTTATCAGTTATTTTTTTTTCTTTCGAATCTGAAATAGGTTGTACTTTAATGTTATACCAAAATCGATTTGGTTCTATACTCTTTTTTTTTTATTAAAAAAAAACAACGATAAGTACAGTTATTATTGTGATAATATATTATTTAAAGAAGTTAAATATAAACATAATTTAAAAATAATTACTAATTTCGATTTCGACTTAGGGTGTCTATTTAAATCGATCTCTTCTTTTTCCGAAATTTCCATTTTTTCATCTTCGTCTTCATAATCACTACCTTCGATATCTTCATTATCGTCACTGTTCATACTATTATTTATTAATTTTTTCAAATCAGCTTTCAATTTGTCCTAAAATAAAATTAAATATGCGCATAAATTGGTATTGGTTTGATAGGATTCAATCGTAATTGTGTTTTTTAAACTCACATCATTTATTGACTTCTTTTCATCATTGCTCTCGATATCACTATCAACACTTTCAATTAACTTTAAATCAGATTCAGATCCACCTAATGCTGTGATCTCCTCCAATAGTTTATTGTCAAAACTTTGATTCCGGTTCTTTGATACATTATCTTTATCTTTCGTCACTTTAGGACTTTTAATTTCTGTTTTTAATTTCTTATAAGGTTTTTGTATTTGCTCTTCAGATCGCTAATTGATATTAATCCAAAAAAAATAATTTATATAATTAAGATAATTAAATATTAATATTCATTAAATGTCAGCAGCATACCTTTTTAAGATTTTTCTCTTTTTTGCTTTTCAGAATTTTATCTTCAGTGAAACTATTCAATTTATTATAGCTTTTCCGTTTTACGCCTTTCAATTTTTTATTGTTTTTGGATTCATAATTTGGGTCCGGCTTATGATCTTTTTTACCGAAAGACTGTGTGGGATTTTTACCCATTTTGGATCCAAAAGAAAAGAACTTTTACAGTTGCATCCGCAGTTGATAAAATGCCATCTAAATTTTGTTCCTAAGCTAATTGTGCACATGACTGTGATCGGTCAGGTGGACCAATAAAAAAAAAATTTTGACACGTTTACCCATATATATTTCATTTGCTATCCCTTAAATGGTAAGTATAAAATAATTCATAACATATTAATTAGATTTGTCATATTAAATTTGTATCTACTAGGTCCGGAGCTAAGGAACTTTAA